GGATTCTGGGAATGGAACGTGTTTATGTTAAATGACATGGTGGCAGTTACAGTGTGTGTGTATTTATGTGTGTAAAGGGTTAACTGCCCATTTGACCTGCTCCAGTGACGGTCACCCTCAGTCTGCTGGTGCTTAGATTGCTGCCCAGCAACTTGGAAAATGTCTTTGCAGGGTGAGGTTGTCACACCTCTATCAGGCTTTTATTGGTTCTCCCTGCTGAGAGATTTACCCCAAGTATTTGTCTTGATGACCAGTGTCACAGGGACAGTAAGTAATGGGAAATCCAAAATCTTACAGGGGTCACTGTTACAGAAGCTGAAGGAAAGTCTTTCAATGGGGACACTTGCTTCAGTAACACTTGGTAAAATACTCCTTTTCTGGAATCTCTTGCAACATATGTCCTTATTTATCAAACTGTCTGATGGAAGAAGTGTTGCTCAACAATCCATCCGATTTTTCTCATACTTTGGTAGAAGAAAAAATAAAAGTGAGATGATAACTTTCTTTTGGAAGTTCACCTAGAAATCAATTAATGTTTGCTTTTTTCTTAGCAGCTTGTTATTTTGTGCAATTTGTTAGTCAATTTTGTTTCTATATATACTTAATAATAATTACAACATTTTCATTGTGCAAAAAAACAAACATTAATTATCAGAGTAAGTGAATATGTCAATGTGACGTGGTGTATTTCTTACATGCAATCACAAACATTAGGATCAAAAACCTTGCATGTTTTTTTTTTTTTATGTTGAAGTTCATGAATTGCAAAAGGAGAGCTGTCATGGGTATTGCTATGCCCGTTTAACAGAGAGGTGTTAGTAAATATTACATATGCATTGCTATTGCTATGCTATACATAATACACCTCTACGTTTTTCATACAACCAGCAGAAATGCAGCAGTTCTGTCAAATAGTAACACAAGGATGTCTCGGGTCATTTAACTGAAACCTCTTCTTCTTTCTGTTCCTAAGTCATTGAACCATGAAGGCATATGAGTAATGACAGAAGAAAGAGTATTTTATCTGATGGATTGGTTATACAAGTCCAGACAAGTGCAATTTTCCAGGATCCCATGTTCTAAATATAAACTTTTTATGTAAATTATAATGAAAGCAAGAGTTGTCATGCATAACTTATGCTGATTTACATCTTTATTTAGCTGAGTTAATCAACACTTATAAAGGTCATACGCAGTACTGCAAATGTCTATCATAAAGCTCTGCATCACAGAAGCCTAAAGAAGAGAATCTCTTGGGCCATTTTGTTCTGTTATGCTATTATACTGCCCATAAAATAATGTCTAATTATAAATGCAAGTAGTTGAGACTAATACCATCATTACTACATTGCAATGCTGGCCATAGAGTTGGATGGAACCAACAAAGGGCTGACAATGTTGAAAGGGAATAATGCTCCTATAATGGTGCTTATTTCACAGATGAAAGCCAGATTTAAGAGTTCACTTAGATGCCCCCCTCCCACATACTAGAAAAATTCCAGTTCTTCGATATGGATAGCAAGTGACTTACTTCCCCTACTCCTACAATACAGCACTTGGTGTATGAGTAGACCATCACCAAGCAACAGCACTGTCACATAGGATTGGGAAGAAAGCCCTTGGCCCTGTGTAAGCTCACATGGGCTGGAGCTGCAGCAGGCGGGCGTGTGGGCGGGGCGGGAGCTGCGGCCGGTCTTTACACAGTTTATGTGCAGCTACCCCGGAAGTAAGACCTAGCGGATTTCTGTAATATAAGACCTACCACCGAACTAGGTCTTATTTTCGGGGTAGGTCTTATATTAAAGAAATCCCTGAAGATAGTGCTAGGTCTTATTTTCGGGGAAACACAGTAGATCAAAAGATCCTCAAAAGCTACACATCATGCCGAGATCCAAAGAAATCCAGAAACAAATGAGAAAGAAATTAATTGAGATCTATCAGTCTGGAAAAGGTTATAAAGCCATTTCTAAATGTCTAAATTTGTGGCTAAATTTCTAAATTTGTTTGATGATCTGAAACATTAAAGTGTGACAAACGTACAAAACAATGAAAAATCAGGAAGGGGGCCAACACTTTTTCACACAACTGTACATCAAGTATTTAAATATTATTACCAAGCAGTATATGAGCTTGAAACAAGCTCCACTGACCTCTGTAGTTGCATTAATTGTGGAGCTATGCCAAAGTCCACAGCAAAAGGCATATGGAAGATCGGAAGCAGGATGTAAACAAACCCCAGAGGTCACAGACACTATTGCAGGATAAGTATGCATCTGGAGAAGGGGCAAAAAGGATAAGTGGTTGGTGTTTGAACGTGCAATTATCTTTTAAACCTCATTTACTGCTTGTTATGAATATGTAATTACGTCAATATCCATAGGAACAGATTGACTTTCAGCTCCCCCATTCAGATCTACTTGTAAAACAGGTGACCTTCCGCAGTGAGCACACTACTGGGAACTACAGGATCTGCCATGGAAGAGACAATTTATATGTTTATGGTTTTGTGTGTGTTAGATTGAACATGTCTCTGGTTATAATCAATAGTCTTCTGTAGTGATTGAGTAATAAAGTTTACAATGGTGTTGCTGCCCCAAATTCACTTACCAACCCTCCACTGGTGACCGACAAAACTGAAGTCCACACAGAAGATGCAATGCGTTGATTGTTAAACAACTCTGGGAGAGAGGGAGAGAGCACAGGACACCCATGATGTAAAAGACTCCAAAAAATGGTAGAACAAAGTATTTGCAGCCTTCACAGATAGAGGACCTTTAAGTTAGGGGGACCTTTCGCCCACGATTCCCGGGGACAGTCCCTGGATTGAGGAGACCATCCTCGGTCAAAGTATGTCCCCGAACATAAAATAAGACTTTTTTTTTAATACTCACCTGATCCCTGGATCCCCTGACAAGTGCAGCCTCCCATCTCCCATGCTGTCAGAAAACCGAAGCGAACTGTATGCAGCTTCTGAGAAGATACGCTATTAGCATAGTGGTGAAGCCGTCTGCGCATTTTGAATAGCTCCCGCTAAGCTAATAGCGCAGCCCGTCAGAAGCTGCATACAGTTCGCTCCGGTTTAAATAGTGGGAGACGGGAGGCTGCGCTCGTCGGTGGATCCAAGGATCAGGAGTATAATTTTTTTTTTTTTATAATTTCTTTATTTTATGTTCCTGGGGACATTTCCGGGGACATAATTTGGTGTATACCGAATACACTGCATATATAATTTGAGGAAAAGATGCTAATAAAATAGTTTTTTTAACCATTTGCCAATAACAAAAAAAAGTTCCCTGATTTCATTTAAAAAATGTGGTCACCTTACTTTAAGTCAATTGTGGCAATCTGTGTCTTGAGATCCTGGCTATGCAGTACTTGAATCAAAAGCTACTAGTCCATTTCAGAGTAGATCACCATGCTGCCACAGAGGATCACTTATCAGGCTCCCCACATGGTCCACCCCGAATATTTATGTCCTCTCCCAATATGCACCACTGGCCATGAAGTGATTGGGCATGAAGAGATACATAGATATTCTTAACAGACTGCTGTTGGTTGCTCTGCTCTGTGGCAAGGTTACACCCAGCACAAGGCAGATCCAAACGATAACAAGGTGCTAAGGAGAAACCAAATGAGCACATACTATTGAATCAGTATCAGACTGACTAAAATTTGAAAACAACTACGTTTTAATAGACACTCCTATTTATGACAGGGTGGCTACAGATATATTTGTGGTGCATGCGTACAGAGTTTGGTCTGTTGCCTTAGAAAGGATGCACACTTTACTGACCAATGAAACCACTATTTATGGGTGTTGGTTATGTGTTTAGATGAAGCACTGAGATCTAGAGTAATGTTGAACTGAGCGAACACATACCGGCGTTCGCTCACTTCTCGATCCTGTCACGGCTCTCTGCCGTGACAGGGGAGGGGCTGGATTCCCCCCTCTTTGCTCCAATCCTCCAGCGCTGACTGGCGGAACGGACGGGGGAGGGTACAGCTGGCTCTGCCTCTAGATAGGCAGAGCCAGCTGCCACACATGCAGCTGGGCGGATCCAGACATAATTGTCGATTGCTCAGTCTTATAGAATCACTAGTAATTCTTTTGATTGTATAAGACTGAGCAATTACAGGGACCCTCTGCACCCCTCCTGACACCCTCTTCACCCCTCCTGACACCCTCTGGGCCCCTCCGACACCCTCTGCACCCCTCCTGAGACCTTCCGCACCCCTCCTGTGACATTCCGCACCCCTCATGACACCCTCTGTACCCCTCATGACACCCTCTGTACCCCTCATGAGACCTTCCGCACTGGGGGGGGGGGGTTAAAAAGCTGTTATTATTTACATTATAATGCATTGCTGGAACACCCCAGAACGCAGTGAGCTGGACGGGTTGCAATCCAGTGTTTTCCAGCACTAAATCGGCCGGAACACACTGGAGCTGATGTGAACTAGCCCTGAAAAAAATAAATAAATAATACTTTTCATTTAATAGAAGAAAAAAAAAAAAGGTATCAAAATCATGTTTTTATTGGGGGGGGGGGGGCCCTCAATGGTTTCTTGCACCGGGGCCCTGGGGTTTCTAGTTACGCCCCTGCAAGAAACATTACATAAATACCTTGTCTGTCCCATCAGTTAAATTAATCCAGATTCTGTGGAACAATTATGTATTATCTTGTTTATAAACAAGAATTCCAGTTAGAAAAACAGGATGGTGTTCAAAACGGAGCTGACATTCATCACCCTATCACTTTTAAGTGACAATGAAATAATATAGAAAGGAGAAAAGCTGCTGCAGGCCTCAGCAGCATGCAATTCAAATTGGGAATAGGCCATCTTCTTTCTCTACTTATGACAGTTGTAAGATCAATCATGAAAACCTTATTTTACTGGAATATAGAAGGCAAATGGATTTCTAATGTTAAGGACTGCAGTGTTATCTTTTTTTTATCTCCTTAATATAGCAGATAATAATATTTTTTTTTCTCTTTCAGATACGACATTAAAGCTCTAATCGGCAGGGGAAGTTTTAGCAGAGTTGTGAGAGTTGAGCATAGAGCTACCAGGCAACCATTTGCCATCAAAATGATTGAAACAAGAGCCAAAGAAGGCCAGGAAGTCTGTGAGTCTGAACTCAACATCCTCCGAAGAGTCAGCCATCATAATATCATTCAGCTCATTGAAGTGTTTGAAGCTCACGACCGAGTTTATATGGTCATGGAGCTGGCCACTGGAGGAGAGCTCTTTGACCGAATCATCGCTAAAGGGTCTTTCACCGAACGGGATGCCACCAAGGTGCTTCAGATGGTTCTTGATGGCATAAATTATCTTCATGGACTAGGTATAACTCATAGAGATCTAAAACCAGAAAATCTCCTCTATTACCACCCAGGAGCAGACTCAAAGATATTAGTCACAGACTTTGGATTGGCAAATGCTGGAAATGGTAAATGCGGAGACTGGTCAATGAGGACCATTTGTGGCACACCTGAATACATTGCACCTGAAATTATACTAAGAAAACCTTACAGTAATGCAGTGGACATGTGGGCTCTTGGAGTCATCACATATATTTTGCTCAGTGGATCTATGCCTTTCGAAGATGAAAACCGTACAAGACTTTATCGGCTGATCATTAAAGGCAAATATAGCTACTTAGGAGATGTAAGTATGTGTGGCTGTTTATTTGAATTTACATCCTAGCAATGGTCATCAGCCTGTACACCAGAGCCCAGGATTCTCTCAGCTTGTCTTTTTGCAATTATCAAATACTGAAGCAGACTAATAGATGTTTTAAAGATAAACACCAGTCTGACAAAAAAGTGGACAATTTATTTTACACTGAAACTCAAGTGTGGCTTAAGCTGGCCATACACCTTACAACCATCGCACGACTTTCGTTGTGTGATGGTTGTAAGGTAATTAAAATCTCGTACGATCTGCCAATCTTGGACAGGCAGATCGTGCTTTCGATGATTCCAATGCTGAGCAGGCAGCGCATGCGCACACCGGCCCGTTCAGCATTTATCTTCCGAGCACGCCACTAACCCGCCGAAAATCTTACGATTTTTGGCAGGTTTTCAAGCATGCTCGGATGACAAAAGACGTGCGACCGTACAGTAGAAACGGTCGCACGCCTTCCATACACCTGGCGATTATCATACGATCGCGGGATCACCCGCAATTATCGTGCGATAATCGGCAGGTGTATGGGCACCTTTAGCTTAACCACTCTAGTATGATTGATAATGCAACTCATGCAGGTTCAAACCAGGGAAATCTTTATTTTCAGAATAGAAGAAACACATTTAAGCACATGTACATAACAATCTAAAGCAAACCTGTTTGCTGGTTTAGGGATGAAAGTCTGGTTCCTCTTAAGGTGCCCATACACCTTACGATTATCGGACGATTTTCGTATGCGATAGACTTTTCGTCCGATAATCGTATGTGTGCATTGGACACTGCGTCCGACTGACATTACTGTACAATCGTACGACTTTTGACGGTCAAGCATGTTTGAAAACTTTGCTAGATCGTACGATTTTTGTAAGGTTCCGTCAAAAGTTGTACGATCTACATTTTTTAACAGTCTATCGAATATACGGCAAATCAATTACCACATTTCGTCCAGGTGCTTTTCGTTAATTACGGCTAAATTAATCTTGCGATCATGTGGGCAGGATGGGTCTGTCGTACGAAAATCGTACGACTATTCGATCATCGGACGAAAAGTTTTGCCCGATAATCGGAAGGTGTATGGGCACCTTTAGAATAGCAGACATCTTAAGGGAAAAAGTTTGATCTTCTTTGCAGACTGCCCTAGTAATCTAAAACCCTGGGGTGTTCTAATAAGCAAATAGCAACCAGCGGTTTCATGTCACTGTGTAGCCCCTTTCCTACTTCTTGTGCTTCTTGTCCTACTATTGGTTAATGAGGGCACCCATCACATTGCACTGATTTGAATTATTTGTACTCATCCTTGCTTCTCTTTTGTGTTGTAGTAGACATAATGTGAGTAGGTGTGCTCTGAAATGGAAGTTAGATTTCTAAGCAAATATAGTAAGCCTAATGTGCTGTTTTCCTCCAGCTCTTCTGCAATGAAGACTTAATCTGAAATCCTTTAAAGTGCAACTGAAAAAAACATTTATTTTTAGTTTCATATGGAGTGGAGGGTTAGAACTCCTGCTAGGCTTTTCTTGATCTCTGAATATGTGAATTTCCAATCAGTTTCTGTCCTAGATAGAGTTGACATTGTGACAGAAAGTGAGGGGAAGACCAAAATTTTACATCTGTCACTTAAACAGGAAGGGCATTGAAATCTTCCAATGGGGACACCTGTTCCAAAGACAATGGCCATAGGTAGGATTTTGCTCACTTAGTATAGATTTCCTCTCCCTTCCTTTTTGTGTCCTTAGGGTAGGACGGAAGGGAAAATATGCCCACCTGGGACATGGAAAGCAATATATATTTGACAGAAATGTTATCATTTTCTTCTATTCAAAACAACAGCAAAAAAAATGTTGCTTGTTCTGTGGTCCATGCAAGGAAGAAACTAAAGAAGAACTCCAGACAGAAATAATCGTAACCCTTGCAGTGGTGCTACCCTCACACTGCACTGGTTATGTACTAGACATGTAAGCCAGCCAACATTTTTTTAAAATTTTTCGTTAATTCGTTTTTCGGGATTCGGATCTGACAGTCAATTCTCTTTGGAATTCGGATTCAGGCGAATATTCGTTAATTGCGAGCAAATTTTTGTTGCAGCAAAGTGACAGAGAAAATAAATTTTTTTTTTTTAACAGTCTACAGAAACAAAAATCCGAATTGAAATTCGTAAAAATTTTCAGAAATTCGTACATTCGGATGCATCTGAGATTTTTGTTATTTCTGTCATTCAGAAATTCAAATACATCCGAATGTATGAGTTTCCGAAAACACGTACAAATTTCAATTCTATTTGTTTTCTTCTAGGGATGAAATTAACAAAGATATACTAAATTGAACTCACCAGGGTGGGTGTCACCTGGTGCAGCTGCCCCGCATGCGTTATGACGTCCATGGTGTGACATCATCATACATGCACTTCACTGCCGACGGGCATCTTGGTGATAGACACCAGCTAAGAGAGGAGGAGATATTGACCTGGCGGGATCAGGTATGCTGCAGGGTCCTCCCCTCTTTCATGTGCCACTGTCAGGCTCTTGGGCCATGACCGTGTGCCTGACGTTTAAGAGGGGGTGACACCAAAGTGACTGTCAGTCATTTGGTGTCACCCCCTCTGATGGTGTCATCCGGTGTGGGCTGCAGACCCCGCACCTCCCTTGTGACACCACTGCCTAAACCTTGGAGCTGACTTGTTTGTTAGACCGGTCCCTGCAGTCTGTCTCCTCCTCTGCAGGATGTCTGGCAGGATCAAAGGGTATTTTTTTCTACTTGCAGCATTTGTAAATTGATAAAACAAATGTGTAGGTATTGTAGAAAGGTAGTAAACATGTTTTTTGTGCCAAGACATACACTTTAAGGCTGGGTTAACACTTGGGCGTTCGTAATATGCGCGTTTGCGCATAAATCTATCAGACTGTATCCTTATGGATACGTGCGGAAAAACGCCCCAAAAGAAGCTCCTGTACTATTTCGGGCAGAGGGCGTATTTCAGCGCGCCAAGATTTAATTAGGAAAAATCAGGTATTTTTGCTTTCGGCAAGTCGACGGCCGTCGTCCATCGTGATTGACAAAGATCTACTTTGTTAGACGACATGATTGATGTGTGGATTACATTTAGGGATGCACCGATACAGATACTAGTAAGTACTCGTCCTCGCCCAAATGCTCCGATGCCTAGCCCGATACTTGAGCTTCTGGTATCAGGAAGCCAGGCAGCGAGTCATTACACGCTGCCTGGCTTCTTGATTGGCAAGAAAGCCGGCTTCATGCTCTCTCGTCACCTGGTGACGAGCGAGCATAGAGCCGGCTACCCAGCCAATCAGGAAACCGGGCGCAGCGTCATTAGATGGTGCCCGGCTTCCTGATTGGCCAGGTGAAAGCCGGCTCCATGCTTTCACCTAGTGACAAGAAGCATGGAGACGGCTTCTCTGCTAATCGGGAAGCCGGGTCTTTACACGCCACCGGGCTAATCAGCAAGCCAGATGGGGAGTAATTACATGCTGCCTGGCTTCCTTAATGGGACTTCTGGTATCGGTATTCGGTATTAGCGAGTACCGGAAAAAAATATATTGGTACTCGCACTCGATACAGAAAAAACGGTATCGGTGCATCCCTAAGTACATTCATAAACACTTTTAAAAAAATAAATAAAGGACTTGTCTAAAATTTTTGTTGTGTGTTTTGTTTTCAAATAAAGGACTTTTTTTTTGGTATGTGTGCTTATTTACAATTTGACTGTTTATTTGGTGAATGAGTAGGGGTAATAACTACCTCTTACTCATTCACTGGGTGGAGGGCAGCATCTGGGTGCTCCCTATATGAGGCACCCTGCCCACAGACCCACACAACCACTGGGACCGGGCCAGGGTTGACATCGACATGGGGACAAGGTGCTTTTCCAGGGGGGACCTAAAGGGTCTGCTATGAATTGGGGGTGGGGGGGATGGGGGGAAATCCCACACTTTTTTTATTGTTTCTGTGGACTTTCAAAAGTTAAAAAGAAAAATTAAATGTTTTCTTCTAATGTCACTTTGCTGCAACGAAAATTCATTTGTAATTATCTAGTGCATCTGAAATCAATGTACATTTCAGATTCTGACAACCGAATAACAAAACGCATTGACTTTCAAACTCGAATCTTGAAAAATAAAATAAGAAAAAATACGAAGTGAACCAAATGTTTTGCCGGCGCACATGTCTAATTAAAAACAGTTCAGCTCTTGCAAGTGTTGTACCCAATGCACTCTCTGCTTTGGACACTCAGGCAGGGATCAGACTGTGTGGGACCAGCATAGGTGTAGATAACAAGCACTTCTGTCCATTCAAATTTATACCAAAGACCAAGTCTGCATGTACAGTAGTTTACACCTTCTCCAAAAGTGTGGTCTTCCTCTGGGTGTGCAAAGTCTTAAATCGATTCTATCGCTAGATATATTTTTCTATTAATAAGGCCAGCCTGAATACTTATCTGTCTGGCCCGTGCCGTTGATCTTTGCTCTCTTGAAGAGCTAAGCAGTCTAAAAAGTATTCAGCATCCCCAGAAGTATGTCAGAAGCCTAATCCCCCTCTGCACTTTGTGGTTTCTTCTGCCTATCATTATGTCACTCACTGCATTACACATTAGTTATCTATCGGGCAGCAGGATGAACCATAGAGATAACAGAGGGATCAGGCATTCAATGCATTTCTGGGTATGCAGAAAGCTAGGAACTATTGCTTTGAGCTCGTTGCTGGAGTTACCTAAAGCTGTAAGGAGACAGATGAATGGTCCCAAAATACTCCACCATTAATTAAAACATTACTTTTGGGTAGACTAATCCTATTGATGAAATTAATAGGTCACTTAGTCCTCATACACATTTGCTCGGTAACAAGTATCTAAATGCCCAAATACACACCTAAATCCATGGTCATGTGACGTGTTGGGTCCAGAGTCTTCTCTCTTCCTCACTGCAGAGTGGGAGTGTCCTTCTGGTGACCACATCACTTTCAGGTGACATGGATAATTCTCATTGGTTGTCCAGCTGTTGAGAGATGATGTCACGAAGAGGGATGGTGACTAGATCAGACAGTGACAGTGGACAGTGGGCCTACAGTGCTGGATCACTGGCCCTCACTAGCAGAAGAGGTGCTGGAAGGGTTACAGGATGGTGGAGTCAGGTAAGTAATAAAAAGACTTTGGGGGAACTTTTTTTAATGGTAACTGGGAGGAATGGGGTGAAATGTGAAATCTCTTTTGCTTGGAGATTAGCTTTCATTAATTAGGATAGCTTAGATTTTCCACTCTGGTACAAAATGAGAAATGAACCTTTACATTGGTGGTCAATGGAGAAGTGTCCCCTTACATTGGTGGTCAATGGAGAAGTGCGCCCTTACATTGGTAGCCAGTGGAGAAATGCCCCCCAATGGAAAAGTCCCCCCTTATATTGGTGGTCATTGATAAATTTCCCTCTTTACACTGTCAGTAATAAAGTGCTATTTTACATTGGTGCCAGTGGTGTGGTGACCTATTTCATTGATGGGCAGTGAGAGCTAAAGAGATTGATGTGATAAGTAACCCATGTGATGTAGTGGGTTATTTACCTAAGAGAAAAGACACTCCGTGTACTGCACTACTGCCTCTGATGAGTAATGTCACAGTCAGAGCTATGCAGGCAGAACTAGGCATAGGATCAGTACACCTGAGTGTCTCCATTGCATCTCTTGTTTTGTGGCACCCGAGGTGAAGTGAACCTGCTGCTCTGCCCTTGGTATGCCACTGCCTCAAGTGTATAGAAACTCTGTCATGTGTTCATTTTACTGCATTTATTAAAAAATAGTGTTGTGTTTTTCAGCCTTGGCCCAGTGTTTCCAATCTTGCAAAGGACTTTGTAGACCGCTTGCTCAATGTGGACTCCAATGACCGACTGACAGCTAGAGATGCCATACAGCATCCTTGGATTAAAACTATGGCTGCATCTTCATCCATGAAGAACCTCCACAGGTCTATCTCTCAAAACCTGAGAAGAAGAGTCTCCTCGCGCTGTCAGAGCTCCAAGTCAGAGCTCTCCATGAGATCGGGTCATTCCAACAAGTCTCGGCGTATGAGAGAGATGATGGAACGTAACTTGCGTTACCAGGCACACATTCTGAGCACTGATGTGATATAATGAGTGTTACTGCTCATCATTTTACACTTGTCATTATGAAGGGCCAGGCTTGGTTTGTATCACCCTCCATCTTATACTTCACATGCACTTTACTAGGGATATTTCCATGCAGTCGTTTGTGTCTCCACCTTCTCCTACAAAGCTTTGAAGGAGGTGTTACTCACTCCCATCTGATCCACAATAATTTATTTATTGTATATTGTGGAGAATTTATCAGAAGAGCATAACAACATCATTTAACCTTGTGAAGGGTGGAACTCAGAATACCAGTAGGAATATCCCAATTTTGGAGGACCTGAGAGATGTAGAAAGCCAGCATGTCACTGAGCATCCCAACAACCGCACAAAACGGAAATATCACCTTGGGATGAAGTTGGCCTTAAAGATTGAAAGATATTTTTAATACACATATCTTTTTTACTTTCCACAGCTGACTGATATCGTGATGCATCTCATATCTCAAACAAAACCAGGACAGATTTATATAAGGTGTATATATGGAAAGTAGGTGTACTGTTGCATAGCAACCAGTCATATTGAAGTTCATTTCATCCTCTCAGTAAAGTACATTTGGACTCTTTTTGAAGTGAGCAACAAAGAAACTTTCTTTGATCTACCACATATAAGAGTGACAGCATAAGAGTTACATGAGCTGCATATAACAGCAGACCTTGAAGCTTAATTTACTTGCAAAGAATTATGGTGGTGTAAACTGTGTACAATGCTGCACCATGCGGGTTGCAAACGGTCTAGAAATTTATGGGATGTCTATATCAATGCAACCTTATTAGGTTTGTTCTGTCCTTGGAAAACACTAATATCCTACTCGGTGAGTCACAATGTTCTTTGAACTCTCTACAGTGTTATACCAAGCTGCCTGAGCATTTCTTCTGTTAAACAATAATTGAATCTCCTATTTTTTACTAGCGCGTGTTGATGCTCTCAAGTTGAAAGTAACTGGCCACTCTTTATACATTTAGAGCCAGGTTGTCACATGAGAACTCTCTCAACTTGGCATTGGTACTCGCTCAATGAAATAGGGATGCCATGGCAGGACTTTGTGTAGTATATTGCCTGTTCATTTTTTCTCATTCATGTGTGTTTTGTATTTAGTTAAATGCAGTTTTTTTAGATGCTAAACTATATTTTGTTTTTTTTCAACAGGGAAAATTAAATATAATTTCTGTTTGTCTTCATTTTCATTTGTATTTCCTGAAACACTGATAGGCAACTTATAAGATTTTGGGTGGCACACGTATAGACCCACAGGTCATCCAAAGGGCTGCATAATATTCATATGGGATTCACAGTGAAGGGCAATACCTCTGTCCTTGACTATCTACACAGAGTAGCTACTGCTATTTATTATTTGACATATCTACAAATATTCAAACATGTCAGATCTACCAAAACCCAATTCATCAAATGTTCGAACATTACAATAGAGCCAGCATTATTTGCCTATATATATAATTCTGGGTGGATGTTGCAAATATTATGTGCAGCATACTGTCTATTAGAGAGATCTTGCTGAAGATTAATAAAGATGGAGATGCTCTTCTGAAGATTAAGTTCGCTCTTGGCAGTGCATACAATGCCCTCTCCTTACCATCCTTGCAGGAAGCCTATCCTCTGGTAAGCAGAGTATGAATGGGATCCCTATAAAAGAATTGGGCAAGATTCCCCTGTGATGTACCAGCCCTAATAAAGAAATACTATATTATTCCATAGTATTTTGCTTCCTTTTGGGAGGAACATGTTATGCACTGGGGTTGCCACCTTCTTGTCTGTGCAATGGCTACCCCAGTGTCTATACAGTTGCAAATTCCTGTGCAGATAATTATGAATTCAGTGGCTGCATTGGAATTACAAAACTCATTGTATGCAATCAAATTATACCTGCCTGCATGCTGCTACAAGTTAATCTATCCACAACCCAAACTTAATTTGTACTCACCAGCACTGCCCCTGAGACTGGCTGCTCTGTTTGGTACTTGCTCAGGCTGTGGCTCAACCATAGCAGTAGCTGACCAGACCAGTGAAGCAGGATTCCATGTGCCACTATAAATGCTGCCACTACCAGGTTGGCTGTAACACATTGATTGGGACTAGTGCAGTGGCGTAACCAGAGTTCTGGGCGCCCGGGGCAGAATTTTTTTTCGCCCCCCCCCATTATATAAACAACCACTGGAACTGTACCCTGCACCTCCCCCCCACACACACATGTTTTTATTTTAATTTTTCAAATTTTAATATTTTATTTTTTTAGAAACTTTTTCATTTTTTTAAATTAATTTTTATTTATTAATTAATTTTTTATTAAATATTTTTATTTTTTACTTTACTTTTAGGGGCTTCGGGGAAATATTGGGGGTCTAAACAGACCCCTGATATTTCCCTTTAAAAATAGAAAAAGAGATTGAGGACACAGAGTCCTCAATCTCTTTTTCTGTGTCCCCTGTTATCAATGAACAGGAATCCTTTATGAGTGTTCCTGTTCATTGATAACATGGTATGTTTACTATAACTACAATTATGAATGAACAGGAGGAGATGTAGATCACTCCCATTCATTCATAATTGAGGATATAGTATACATACCAGTTCCTCAATTATGTACAAACACTCAGCGATCACTGATCACTGAGTGCTTGTACCCGTTCTCCTGTCTGACACACACTGTCATAGGAGGCTGCAAGAGGAGAGCCCAGCCTCCTGTGACAGCGCTGGCTGTCTCCGCCCCCACACCGCTCTGCTGCACTGTGATAGGCGGCCGAGCGGTGTGGGAGGAAAGACACCGGCCGCTCACAGCGCTCGTCCCGCAGCGCTTGGCCGGCTGTCATTTTCTCTTTGATTCCTTTCATCCCCGCTGGGCACTGCTCTGTGTCCCAGCGGGGCTGAAAGGAATCACGGCCGCGCCGGCAAAACGGCAGGAAAATGTCACTTTCGGCATTTAGCCGAAAGTGCCATTTTCGGCCGGCGCCCCCCCTTCACTTTTCGCCCGGGGCCCGCGCCCCTGCTGCACCCCAGGTTGTTACGCCACTGGACTAGTGGACACTCTCCTGCCCACCTCATCTCTATGTCTTGTAAAACACAGGGCAGGGTCTTGAAGGTGTAGATAGATGGTGATGCTGAGGCTAGAACAGACCAGAAAATAGAGGGCAGTTATGGTAAAAAACAAAACAAAACAGGACAAAGGGTAACTCTTTCCTCAAACCAGAGGTAACATTTATAAATTCAAGAAACTTCTGGATGAGTTTCTTCTTTCTCAGAATCTACAGGGATATGGGAAGTGTAAGAGCCAGATAAACACACACACACACACACACACTCACATACATAGGTTGAACTGGTTGGACCTTTGTCTTTATTCAGCCTTACATACTATGTTACTATGTTTAAAAACATGATTGTCTGCTGGTCTACTGTGTACTCTGCAATTAGAAAAGTTGACTAGTAAGTGAACTTTACCCGCTTACTAAGCTAATTAGTTCACTGGCGGAGTAAGTTGGTAATCCATGGAGATCATTTAAAACTATGGGGTCTATTCACTAAGCTGCCGTAGGATCTAGTTTGGCCGAGCGGCTGGCCATTGGCCGGCCGACAGCCTGCTTCTGACAGCTGGGCAACCAGGAACGCCATCTGTCATTACACACTGAGAACACGGAGAGGCCACTGTGATATCATAACGGCCCGGCTGGGTTCTCAGTGTTTAATGACAGCGTACCTGGTTACATGGTAACCAGGGACGCTGATCTCTCTGCAAGTGGCTGGAGCCAGCTGTAGGATGATGCATTCCTATGGTGATTTATTTATTTATTTTTATTCTGACGGCAGCCAACGGCTCCGATGTCAGAAGAAAAGAAAAACCCAGAGCAGGGAAAGGTTTACACTGCTCGATCGAGCAGAGTGAACCTTTCTGGGAGAAAGTGGCATCCTACGGCTGGCTCCAGCCACTTGCAGAGAGATCAGCGTCCCTGGTTACCAGGTAACCAGGTACGCTGTCATTACACACTGAGAACCCGGCCGGGCCGCTATGATATCACAGTGGCCTCTCCCTCTTCTCAGTGTGTAATGACAGATGGCGTTCCTGGTTACCCGGTAGCCAGAATCATCTGTCATTACTCTCCCAGACGCTCTGGGAGTATATTACGACTCCCGGCCGCCCAGGAGAGAAACACTTTCTCCCAGAAAGGTTCACTCTGTTCGATCGAGCAGTGGAAACCTTTCCCTGCTCGGGGTTTTTTTTTCTTCTGACATCGGAGCCGTTGGCTGCCGTCAGAATAAAAATAAATAAATAAATCACCATAGGAATGCATAGCTAGATTCCTATTGGCTATTTCACTTTGCAATAGCCAATAGCAAACTAGCTATTGCACCCGCCCTCTGATGCTGTCAATTACCAGAGGGGGACCTGGTGGAGAACTGCAGGTCCCCCTCTGCTGATTGACAGCAGCAGAGGGCGGGTGCAATAGCTAGTTTGCTATTGACTATTGCAAAGTGAGATAGCCAATAGGAATCTAGCTATGCATTCCTATGGTGATTTTTTTTTTTTTACGGCAGCAGAACCGCCCGGCCAGTAGAAAACAGTTGGGCGGAGCTAGCTGTCACTGCTAGCTCCGCACAATCGTTTTATATATTTTTTTCCTACTTTTTAACTAATTTTCTATTCTGCTCGTTACCACAGAGGTACTGAGCAAAATAGCAAGCGGCATTCGGCTATTTACTCACTGCTGTTCGGCATCTATGAGAATAGACCGAACAGTAGCGAGTAGCCTTACGGAGGTTCGGCTTAGCCATCCACATGTTGGATCGGCTGAGTCGAACTCCTTCTGCACTTTGGGTCAGCCGAACATGCTGTACAAGCCTAAAGTGAATAGCCAAACAGCGTTCGGCTCACTTCACTTTGGGTCAGTTGTTCACTCGGCTGCCTACGGCAGCTTAGTGAATAGACCCCTATGTGTGCATGAAACGAGTCTTCCATCCATGCAATCTACTCC